AGACACTATGTGTAGGTAACTTATAGTGAATAGTGCACTTTATAAATGAATATGGTAAAATTTAATGTATTTTTAAAAACAAGCTAAATTATTAATCTATCTTTATTCTTTCAATTAAAGAATCTTTAATAAATCAGAAAACTAGGGAAGAAAAAGCAGAGCTAAAAAAGATATGAGGAAGAAAATCTAAAGTATAAGTCAAGTACAATATTCTACAAATAACAGGAGTGTGAGTTACATCACTGCATTTCCACTCAAATGTAAATATTGGAGATTTTCCTTATATTATCAATGCATTTCTGGGACTCAAGGATCCCACTCTGTTACAAATGACTAAACTTATTGAAAAGAACATTCAAATGCTGTGCAACTAATATGAGACTGATAAAATTTTTTCACTTAATTAAAAACCTCACTGCCAAATAAACGTAAAATGAATGTGCAAATAATTTTAACTCATTAAATGAGGGAATCTGAGATGTTAAATCCAGTTCAAACACACATACATACACACAAGCAAAAGTAAAATCAGAAATGCCAAAATGAATTACAGTATAGTCAAACCTGATTATCAACCTCAAACATGGAATGTTAGTGTATCTTTTCTACAAGGCATAGATCAATTACATATTTACTGGAAAAAAATCATTTTATTGCAGTGGAAAATAATCATTTATGTTACTATGGATAAGAATAATTTACATTTCTATCAATTTTCTACAAGACAGTACAAGCTGTATACCTCTGTAGAATCAGATAATTCCCAAAAAGGTCTGCTGGACAATATCTAGCTCTGCACTGAGAGGATATGTAGTAATCTTTTTTGTACTTTTCAAGTCTTGGACAACTTTTTTCCTGAAAAGCTTTAACAAAGTCTTGAAACATGGTATTTAGTAAAGGGTTAACTCAGCAGGCTTTGGGTGTTCAAACTTTATGTACATTCCAAAGAAAGGACTGGTCTTGACTGGCTCCTTGGAGATACCTTATAAACCTTTGGATCATCCTGCACGATGAGTGTTTTGTATACTTTGGACGTTTGACCACTCTAACATCTGTTAGCGTGGATAGCTCATACTAACAAGGTGATTTTTGATGAATATCTGTTTTGACCACTCTAACATCTGTTAGCGTGGATAGCTCATACTAACAAGGTGATTTTTGATGAATATCTGTTTTTTTTAGTTTTGTTTGTTTTGGTTTTCACCTGAGGTCCTTGGCCACACTGTTTGAGTTTCACTTCTGAGGGAGTGCTGCATATTTAGTAGTTAAGGTCAGTTGTGTGTGCACTCCATGCTTCTGTGATCGACCTCCAGTAAAATCCCAGGACTCTAAGGATCAGGTAAACTTTCCTTGTTAGCAACTGTTTGTAGATGTTGTCACTCATCATTGCTGGGAGAATGATGCTCTGTGCATGTGACTCCACCTGGAGAGGACAATTGGAAACCTGTGCCTGGTTTTTCTTGGGCTCTGCCCCATGCACCTTTTCCATTGGCTCATTTTAATCTGTGTTCTTTCTCTGAATAAATTGTAACCATGAGTATAACAGCTTTTCTGACTTCTATGAGTTCTAATCAATCATTAACCTGAGAGTGTATAGGCAGACATCCATATGATATGCAGACATCCATATATGCAGACATCCATATGTACATGATACATATGGATAAACATAAATTTGCTGGACGTTCAAGTAAGTGTTGATGGAGGCCTTCAACAAACAGAACTGAGAGGCTGAGACACTGATCTTGTTTCTTCAGGTTGATTTAGTATTTGTTAGGATGGTAATTTGTCAAAATCTACAGTGACAGCTTCCTGAATCTGATCACAGGGGATGCTGAGTAGGGTATTTATAGAAATCTCTGGACTTCTGCACATGACGTCTTCAAATCAGACCCAGCTCATCTTCTCCAAGATGCCTCACTATTGAAATCACCTTTCTGCTTCCCCGGTACTCTCCCAGAAGATAGTCTAAGATTCTTTTTTTCCCTTTCAAACTAACTGCAAAGCATAAATTCTATGACCTTCCTCAAGACCTGGCTTTTACTTCTCTCAATAAGAAACAGCTCTTGTAAATCAAAAGCTTTGATTTTAAAAGTCTTTTTTTTCTGATCTGGCACAAAGAGTAGATTTTGGAAATAAAACATAGTATTCTTTATTTTTTCTCTTTGTACTAAAAAAAAATCCCAAATTTTTTCAGCAGGGTGATAAATTCCTTTATGTCATGCACTGTGTCCCCCTTGGTCTGTGATCTACTATAGATCATCTTTCATTATTTGACTCTTATATTCATATGAAAAGATTTTGACAATTGTGAAAAATATTGTTCAATTTTAATAAAGCCTATCTTGTCAAGACAATTATCTCCCTAAGTATTCAAAATGTCTTTGAATCTCAGAGCTAAACAATGACTAAAACTTCCTTTCTTCCCTGGGGAAATAATCCTTATGTCTTGGCTTTAATGGTAGAAGGGACACAGGGGAAGAATCTAGCTATTGATGAGGTATTATTTCCCTACATTTGCTGCTCAGCTTTAAGACATTTGTACTTTTTCTACTGTAGGTATTACTTTGACCATTGGTTGGCAAAGTCAAATGTTGCTAGTATGAAATGGCTGGTTTTTCCTCACACAAATATTTTTAGTTTTCTGGCAGGAAACTTCCTTTGGACATCTCTGAGTGCTACTATTTAGTCTTTCCTGGAACACTTAAGTACATATATTTTTGAGAAGTAGGATTCCATGCTCCACAACTCCAAGGATGCCATTCACATCCATGTAAGTTGTGGTTCAAGCAGTTTTATAATGGGCAACCTATGCAGTAAGCAGTGGCCCTGAATATACTCCAATTGTTTGACAGCTTTGTTTGTTAGAAAGAACAGCTGTCTTCAAATATGTTAAGGCTTCTAGTAGAAGAGTTAAGATAATTGTTTTCTGTATGATTTCAAAGGCTAAAAACCTCTTTGAGTGTGTATATCCCAGATAAGCACAGATAATGGGTTAATAAAATGAAGAAATTTTTAACAGTAAGAGCTGCTCAAAAGTAAAGCAGATCACCTTAAAATAATGGAATTCCATCACTGAAGATGTTCAAATAAAATCTGGACACCTGCCTGGTACAGATACTGTATAGGGACTCAGTTATCATAATACATTAACAGGATAAAAGAATATTTAAATTTTCCTGTCTGAGATGCAATGATTCGCGAGATCATTAAAGCTGCTAGCACTCAGAAATGTAAATGAAATTTAAACTCATTCTACAACTGCCATTGGGTTGTATACAACTGTGATTATTATCAAGTTAGAGTTTTATGCCTCAATTCAGACAACTGACCTGGAATAAATGATTGAATGAAGAGTTCTGTATTCTTCTGCCAGATTTCATTAGACCAAGCCTTTGGGAGTAAATTAGCCCAATTTGAGGATTAAAGTCTTTAAAAATATTAGCCAAGGGGCTTAAAGAAAGCAAGATGAGTCATAGTGCAGGACTGGGCTGGGCATAATTAATACCTGGCATGCCATCTTCAACTGATGGATAGTCACCTAGAACTTGATGTTGAGGATTATTAGGTCATATCTAGAGTCAGCTCAAAATATACCTTGGATGATTAGTGATGGGAGGGACAAATGGTAGAATATACTGCACATATTTGCTGTCTCTCTCATGGAGACTACTTGGCCTGTTATTTAGGTAGAAGGCATAGAATTCATCTCCTGGGGCTGGGCAGGGTGGTTGACACCTGTAATCCCAGCACTTTGGGAGGCCGAGGTGGGTGGATCACTTGAAGTCAGGAGTTCAAGACTAGCCTGGCCAACATGGTGAAACCCTGTCTCTACTGAAAATACAAAAATTATCTTGGCATGATGGTGAGCGCCTGTAATCCCAGCTATTTGGTAGGGTGAGGTAGGAGAATCACTTGAATGTAGGAGGCGGAGGTTGCAATGAGCTGAGATTGCGCCACTGGACTCCAGCCTGTGCAACAGAGCGAAAAAAAAAGAAAAAAAAGAATTTACTTCCTAGGGAGATTTCACTTGCTTATGGCTTTAGAACTGAGCTGTGTAGGTCCAGCAACTCAAAGCATCCATGGTCAATTAGGATCAGCATTAACTCATACAACTCAGAAGAATATAAGGTAGAAATCAGAATGCCAGTCCAATAACTTGCAATTAGAATTATTACTGTCAAATTGATTAAAATTCCTGTGTCTTTTAGCTAGGACACTCAGGCTGCTGTGTCATTGAGATAGATGAGTTAATAACACTGATTAAGACTTTATGTATTAGGTTATAACTTTCCTTTTTCAGGATATTGAAATTTACTCTAACTTTCTAACTCCTTGAGACTACATCCTTGTTTCCTGCCTTGACTGTGGTCATATGTTTGCACTTAATTCCTTCTGGAAGCGTTTCCAAAACTATCTGTGGTGAAGACCTAATTCATTTTCCTTTTCTGATCCATCATGAATTAGTACTTTGATAAAATGCAATAAAATGAGTTATAAAAATAAAATTAAATAATGCAAAATATAAGCACAATTTCAATGAATGACCTCCAAAATTTATTAAAAAATTTAAGCCTTTACTGTTTCTTTTCCTTTCCTTTCCTTTCCTTTCCTTTCCTTTCCTTTCCTTTCCTTTCCTTTCCTTTCCTTTTCTTTCCTTTGCTTTCTTTCTTTAGAGTCTTACTCTGTCATGCAGGCTGGAGTGCAGTGGTACAATCTCAGCTCACTGCAACCTTCACCTCCTGGGTTCCAGTGATTCTCCCGCCTCAGCCTCCCAGGTAGCTGGGATTACAGGCACCCGCCACCATGCCCAGCTAATTTTTGTATTTTTAGTAGAGACAGGTTTCGCCACATTGACTAGGCTGCTCTTGAACTCCTAAACTCAGGTGATCCACCCACCTCGGCCTCCCAAAGTGCTGGACTTACAGGTGTGAGCCACTGTGCCCAGTCTTTATTCTCAATTTCTAAACTAAAATTTGCAAGCAGAATAGTTAATGGAGTGTTTAATTAATGCTAACAAAGTTAGGGAAATATATAATAGCATGAAGCTTTATTTTGTATGTATTGTGCGAACACACTATACCCCATTAGGGTCCCTGTGTAATCAATGCAATCAGTACATATGTATTCATTAAATGGAAATACAGAAGAAGTTTATAATTTTAAATGACTATAGATGTCTATATTAAATTTATTCAACATTTAAGATATAAAAATGTAGGCAGAGATGTTGATGTGTATAAAATGTACTTGAAACCAAGTCCTTCCTAAAACAATAAGCCAACTCCCAATGCAATAGTGTTTATATATAAAATTATGATATTATTTATGTCATTTTGAGGCTTAAAATTTGGGTGAAATATGGGAAATATTTGATCAATAATAGTGTCAGAAGATGTACAATCACTGATTTGTTCCACAATCATAGACAAATGTTTTGTGAATACACAGGAGGGATATTTATTTCATACACATACCCTCAAATCCCTTTGCTCTGATAATGTTGACTCAGTGAGCCACAATGATGACTTCTATCATGACAACCACTTGTAAGCCCTCTTAGTACAGTTTTATTTAATCTATTAAATTAATAAATTTGCCATTAAACAAACACATTTTTGGCTAGTGCATGAAACAGTGATTTATTATTCTTCTATCACTGAAACTTAGTCATTTGAATTTCTTGCACATCACTCGCACATCACTCAGAGTGATTGAAATGTTGTGCTTTTCTGGGTTTTGACCCTAGTACTATTTTAATCTGATTTTATTTATTTATTTATTTATTTTTGGCTCTCAAGCCCCAGCATTTCCAATTTGTAGGAACTTTTATTGCTTCCCCATGTTGAGATGTTTTATGTAAGACTCACCAACATTTACTACAGTCTTTTGCATATTTCAGTCTTTAGATTTGACTTCCTGGATAATACTTAAACCCCCAATTCACAAGAAAAATCCTGTATTCTTAGAGGTTAGAGAGATTTTACCTTAGTTCTTAGCACAGCCATAACTTTTCTTATTATGTAATCCCAATGTTTTGCCATCTTAATACTGATGTTTTGGGGATGAGAGAATCTCTATGGCCTGGAAGGATCATTCCCTAGCATTATTCAGATGTACCTCTTAGTGGTATATCTAGTGTCCAACTAGAAGAATCCACCCTTAGTAAAGCTGAAAGCTTGTTTTTTCATGTCTACTTATATGTACATTGCATTAAAATATCATGCTCACTTATTTTTAGACACATTCTTCATAGAGTGGGAATGACATTGTCTCTGCCTTACAGAAAATGCAGACCATCTCTTTATGGAAGACTGGCCACATAAATGTCTATTGCAACCATGGCCTCTTTTGAACTTCATTCCTGTGGCTGCTTATCTAGAGGTTCATTTGGAAAACTGAATTTATCACTATAATGGTCGCAATGTCATATCAACTTCCATGTCTAGGTACACAATTGCCAATAAAATAGTTTTACACTTAAACATTTCCTTTAGAGGGATGCTCCTTCTTGATAACTTGTGCTATCCTGAAGCAAAAAATAATCACATCTATTTATAATGAGCAACGATGCATCTCCACTGGCAACCCCACTGGATATGGTTCTGTCAGACACTATCAGCCATACTTTGCAGTTATAATTTCCTAACTTATAAAAACATATCTCAGATGATCACATGAGCTCCCTCTTTATGCAAACTTAACAAGTAGAGATTCATATTATAGAACCACTACCCTCATTACTCCTTGTCTAGGGAATTCACAATGTGGCCAGCTTGCATATACTTTGCTTGTATATTAGATATCAAACACACCAAATAAAGATATAACCCATTCAAAAACCTTTGACTTGACCATGCTTTAAACTGCTTATGTAGAAGGACCACTATTATATTCACAAAAATTGTCATTTTACAGTGAAACAAAATTATAACAACATTCACTAATGATCTAATAAGTGATAAAAACTGTTTTACTAGCTGTGGGGAAGGTATACATATAGTTAAGATAATGTCTCTTCTCTTCTCTAGGAAATCATAATAATTCCAAAATATACATAACACTCTAATTGAAGTAGTGATAATAATCACATAAGGGCTATAATGGAGATACGCATGAAGTGCTATCAGAGCACAGAGGACAGAATTAATTCTTACTTACGTGTAGGAATCATGGAAGGCTTTGAAGAAAATGATGAATATGGGCTGAAACTTTGGAATTGGTTGGACTTTGAAAAGTTGATGAGGATGTAAAGGGATGGGTGGCCTGGTATAGTGGCTGGGGGTGGGAGGGCAGGCAGTAATGGAGGGAGAATGCATTTGAGTAAAGGGGAGAAGCATCCAATGTAGTTTCCTCTTTGCTGACTGTCATACATTTTTAACTTTGGAGGGAAGATGGAAGAAAATCTATTGAACCAATTGTTTTGGCTGCTCTGATGTGATCACAACATTGCTTATATGGATTGTCAAACAAGGGATGAGCTCATAAAAGGATATTAATGTGTCGTTTTTATTGAGCAAAGTAGCATTACAGAAAAGGTGATTTCAAAGGCACATGGCTCTTTCATTACAGCCTTCAGGGGCAATGTTTGATCACTGAAAACAGGCTGCTTTGTTCCAGCTTTCTCTGATGTTTGGCATTATCCTGAATACATATGCTCTGACTTGGAAAGAATCAGTCTGTAAAGATTTAATAGATTTGAGATTTGCATATTCAAAATACATGTTTTATGGTTAAAATGAAATGAAAGCCATTTTAATATGTATGTCTATATATACACAGATATATTTCAGAAACACATCTCAGCAATTTTTTAAAAGCAATTACACATATTATGTGTTTGCTCTGAGATAATGAAAGCTGGCTATTTTTAAACTCACCATTTTAATTTATCGTGAAGAAAAAATATATTTTAAGACACATTATATTAGTGTTAACAAAGTACAAGATTTCCAGTTTTAGGGACTTGAGCTTTGCTATATGTCCCTGTCACCTATCATAGACATAACTTTCTAGTGCTGGATGTCTCTGAACACTTTCTTTATTAAAAATGAGTTAACAGCTTTCTTGGTTGAAGAAAATTGGAAGTCACAAAATATTAAAGAGAAATTATAAAAGATTAGCATTTACAAGATGTTCTTTTCCTTATGTGACTGAAATAAGTGACCTTTTTTCTTCCAAAAGGAAAGACTTGCTTGGAAAAAGACCTGCAGAGTCAAAAGCTTTTCTTGTGGTGACCAAGACTCATGAAATTTGTTTTTATAGAACTCTCTGGCTTCTGTTCCATGTGAAATGGTATGAAATCTCACACAAATTTATCTTTTTATTTTGAATTACAATTGAACCTTTAAAAGAAAGATGACATTCCAACTCAGCCAATTTGATATACATTACATTTACAATTAGATAACCATTGCACTGAAATTAAGCCCGACAGACTTCAGCTGAGATGGGCTAGGTTAAACTATGTTCCATTTAATGTGACAAAGAAAAATTTTACTTCTTGCTCCTTTACTTAAAATCCTTCCCTTTCCCTCTCTCCACTTATAACATCCTCTAACTCAATGACGCCCAGTGTTTTCTCTGCTTAACACATTCTCCCCTCTCTGTTAGTTTTGCAACAATTTCAAAACAGAGACTATTTTGTTATCCATTTGTTGCCTAGGCCAACGTTTGCAAACCTTAATGTACTTATAAATCATCTAGGGATCTTGTTAAAAACACAGGTTCTGATTCAGCAGGTCTGGGGTCTAAGATTCTAACAAGCTCTCAGGTGATGCAGTGGACCAAGGTTTGTATAGCAAACACTTAGAGTACAAATGACCTGTCGTTAAATGTGTTCTTGGACCATGATAACTGGAAATGTAGATTATCTGACTTTGAGGTTGCTTCAGACTTTGAATTGCTTTTTTATTTATTGATAATGAATCAATAATGAACGCTCTGAACCATCTGGACTCCCTCTACTTCTCTAGTCTCTGTTTTTACCACTTCCTCTTTCTTACTTTACATTTTAGACATAACAAAGTACTTAAAGTTTCCAGAATGTATCAGGCTCTTTCACACGTCAGTACCTTTTCAAATACTATTTCCTCTGCCTGTCCTGGTGTCCTCTGACTCTCCCTTTAAAACTCAAATCTGCCGCCATCTCCTCCATGAATCCTTCTTTAATCTCTTTTTCATGTAATTGCATGATTAAATGCCTTCAGTATACTCCCACAATGCCCTGTATTTCCTTTATTACACCTTTCTCATAATCTGTCGCAATTGTCTCCTTAATTGTTCTTTCCCTTCAAGACAATGCTTCTGGGGGGAAGCAATTTTTATCTCTGATTCCTTTTGCCAATAAACAACATAGTAGGTTTTTTTTTTTTAATCAAAGTTTGCTGAATGAATGAAGAGGGGAAGTTGATGTGTTGTAGTCATACAAGAATGTAATGCGATATTTCGTCTCATGAAGTTTAAAATTGAATTGGGAGTCATAAAAACAAACATAAAAAGTTAAGTATAGGCTGAGATAATACTAAAGATATAAAATGTTAGTATGTGATTAATTGCCAAATGAGGATCATAGCAAATAACTATTCAGAGTCAATTGGAGGAAAATGTTACTGGGGATTTATTAGTATTTTTAATATCTCAATTTGTTCCACAAAGGACTTGAGCCTGCTGATAACACTATGTATTAAAGTTAATGAAAAGATGAACACATGTGTAGTTAAGGGAATAGTATGAGACAAGGAGAGGGTTATGGAAATATGTACTCAAAGCTTGAGGAACGGATAGATTATCTTTAAGATGTATTCTTTAGATGTATTCTTCTTGTCTGCAAAAGTGCTTCTTGCTAAGATATGGACAGTAATGTGGGTGTGCTGGATTTTCATACCCACTCTGCCTGGGAGACTGACTTCTGTGGGGACATTAGCAGCTCACTTGTCCTCTGGCTTCTGGCAGAATTTGGTTAATGGGATGCCTTTGGAGAAGAGTGAGGTCAGGACATTTGTTTTCTTTGGTTGCTTAGAACTGTCTGTGCCACTTTTTAAAGATGGCCCCTATGATAAACCTCCTGAAATTATTCTAATTTGAGTGTGCCCTGTCACCTACTAGGACTCTGGTATGACCTCAGAGTTGTTGTTTAGAGCTACATTGGATGTCAGGCTTAATGACTTTTCTGACAACCATTAATGCCATAAAAACATTTGAGGTGCATGCTGTATAGGAACAATTCTATGAGGAGGTGGTTCAATACAGAAAAATTCAGAAAACAAATTAGCAAACCTAAAATGCTGTGCTCATATACTTTACATTTAGTATGGCAAAGGCAATGCAAACCATCTTGGAGGTCAGGAACAACTGATATATATAAAAGCTCACAGCTCTATATACCAGCCTTAAGTTTAGTGTTGAATTGTAAAGCAATAATATGCCAGAAATGTCATTTTTAGGTTGTTTCCTTTTCAGTGGGGGTAGATTATCCAGAATTTTTGCCTCTGCTCTTGCCTGTTGCTCATCTGCTGGTTATTTTACTACTCACTGTCCTTCCGTCAGGGAATATTAAAGGAAAATAAGTGAATGAAAACTTAGCTGTAGCACCTATGATAAAAATTTTGTCAAGAAGAAGACTGAAATCCTAAAATGAAGCTTTTCAGTTTATCTGGGTTGGTCTGCCCCCTATCGCCATAAAGATATTCAGAATGGTTTCTAGCTTGTCAAAAACCAACAGATAAATATGGGCAAAAAGTTTTACTTTCATGCTAATGAAGAGAACCAGATCTAATAAATAAACATGATCCCGTTAATATGAAGCCCTAGTGTGCAACCCTCTGTCTTTTCATATCCGATTGTATGACAACCTTGTTTGCAGTTGTTACTTAGATCATTGTTGAGTCATATAAGCTTAATTTTATGACCCAGCAAAAACAGATCATAAATCTCAGTAGTGGGAGATATGTTTGTAGTTTGACCATGGTAAGATGAGCTAAGGGTGCTGAGGAAACCATAAATTCAATTTACAAAAATAAAGAAAATAAGATTATTTATACTTGGCCCAGTGGAAAAAGTGAAAATCTAATATTTTTCTGGTCTATGCTGTCCATTTTGCCAAGCTTGATTAAATTCCTGTTTAGTAGGTAGCTAAGACAGGAACTGAATTAAAACACTTTATATTAAGCTTTTGAGTCTACTTTGTTTTTCACTGTTTTCTTTTTAAAAAGCTGTTTTAACTTTTCTTTCCTTTTAGGCTCTATTTATGAAATGTTTGGAAATGAATGCTGTTTTTCAACAGGAGAAGTGATTAAAATTACTGGTCTCAAAATTAAGAAGATCATAGCTGAAATTTGTGAGCAGATGGAAGGTTGTGAGTCTCTACAGCCATTTGAACTGCCTATGAATTTTCCAGGTACAGTGTATTGCAACCACTTATCATTTGTACAACTATATTGTTAATATGATGTATATATACACAACTGAAAATGAGAAAAAAATGGTCTTTTTTTCACTCTAGGACAATGGGTGAAAAAAATCCAGAATTGTTATAGTTTGATCATTTTAAGAACAAATGGAAGGCAACTATTTTCTCCTTTTTTAAAGTGAAAGATGTTTATCCTGTACTTAAGAAGTAATCTTTTTGGTTAACAAACATTTAGTGAGTTCCAACTCTATACACACCGTTAGTTGTGCTAAATAATGAGAACCAAGAAATCAAAGATATATTTTCATAAATTCTGTAGAACTAAGTAATATCATTTAAGCATATCCACCTGTTTGCTATTCTTACTGTCATTACTCTGGCTCCTTGGATCACCGTTGACCTTGCCTATGTAATATTACTGAAAAGTCTCCCTGGTCTTTTTTTATCTAATTGACTCTACTCAGCCTTCCAAAACTAACTCAAGTATCATGCCATCTAGAAGACTTTTGCTGACCCTCTAACCTAATCTAGATTTCTCTTTTATGTTCCCACAGTATCTTGGGCCTCATAGCATACACCTCATTGGACAGTCATTGATGACTTCCTCATTTGTCATATTTTTTACACTAGGAGTTGGCAAACTTTTTCTATAAAGAGCCAGATAGTAAATCTTTTAGGCTTTGTGGCCAGAGGGTCTCTGTCACACCTATTTCACTATGCTATTTATGTTGTAGCACGAAAGCAGCTCTGGATAATACATAAACCAATGAGCATAGCTATGGCTCAATAAATCTTTATTTACAAAAACAAGTGGCAAGCAGGATTTGACTCATCAACTGTAGTTTGCTGAACTCTGCTCTAGACTAAAACTCCTTGACATGAAATATGAACATGTGATTTTGTATTTCTGATTCAAAAACCAAGCACAATTTTTGGCACAATTGAGTGTGTGCTCAGTAATTGTTAACTGGATGAATGAATGAATGACTAGTAGAAGAGAAAAATCTCACAAACCTTTACAATATAATATGTTTCATGGTGTGATGGAAGTATACTGTGTCCTTTGTGGGGCTTGAAAAGGAATATCAGACTATAGTTGGTTGTGTTTCAGAACAGGGATTCTGGAGCCATTGTAATTGAATTCCAGCTCTGCTACTTCTTAGCTGGATAACTTTGACAAGTTATTTACCTTCCTTTCATGTAAAATGGGAATAATAATACTATCTATCTCCTAGCATTATTGGGAGGGCTACGTATTGAAATATATTTAGTGCTTAGAATGGTACGTGACATACTGCAAGGTGCATTAAAAAGTGTCAGCTTTTATTACCATTTTTAAGATATTATGACTATCATTGGAGGAGTCAGGAAAAGCTTTTTAGGGATGCTTTAATTGAGCTGAAGTTGGAAGAATGAAAATATGTTAGTTATATTGAAGTGAGGATTTTTTCAAGTGCTCTAGTATCCAGTTCCCTTTCAAGTGAAACTTTACACGTTGTTCAATTCTATGTCTTTCTTACTTGTCTTTTATAACAATGATTCTCAAATTTGGCTGCACATTAGAATCACCCAGGGAGCTTTAAAAAATTCTGATGTTCAGGCCACTTATATGAGATATTCTGATTTGTTTGCTCTGTGGCAAAGTCTGGTCATCAAGGTTTCTTAAAGCTCCCAGTGTGATACTAATGAGCAGCCAGTGTTGAGAACCATTACTTTATAAGATGCCTCTCTTAAGTACTCTAATTAGATGTAACAATTCCCTTTTTAAATCACTATAGTCTTTCGTGCCTTAATCATTGCATTTGTCACATTTTGCATGTAATTGAGGTTATTTGTCTACTTGTCTGACTACCACCATTTGTCTAATAGATCACAAGGTTGCTGCGGGCAGAATCTGAATCTTATTTATTGCAATAATCCCCAAGGTATTTAGAAAAAGATGAACATAATAAATAGTAAGTTAAAATGACTAGAATCTTTTGGTAGAAAGAGTTTTTTCTTATTAGAATGGTGCGAACACTTAGTTTTTGGCTAACAGTTTAACTTGGGGAGTTGCCATTTAGAATATTCTTTTGAACTTCCAATTGGCATGATAATCTTGCATCTATTAAGTAACAATTTGAAAATGATGTTTATAAAACAATTTTATTGAAAAGAATAGGGTGAAAATGGAAGGGTAAAATGATTGGCACTGGTTAGGGTATAGTTTCTTTTTTCAAAGAGAGCTCCTAGATAATGATGAAAGTTATCCCAGATACAGGGATAATTCTTCTACATCGGCACTGGTGAGAAAGATAGAAATCAAGGACGCTAATGTTATTCAAAAATTTTAATAGCCGCATCTCTTTATTTATGCTCTATTTAAAACTATTTAAGTTCCCAATTAGATTTTCAACTCAAAAAGTCAAATAGTATTTTAAAACATTCTTCCTTATTTGTGAATTTCCCAAATTTCCTTTTCATATTGATTTCTAATTTTATTGTATTATGGTCAGATGACATATTTTGTATGACTCAGTCCTTTTAAATTTAGTGAGACTTTTTTTTTAGACTAATATATGATCTAGAGAATGTTCTGTATTCACTCGAGAAGAAAGTATATTCTATTTTTGTTGGGTAAGTGTTCTACAGATGTCTGTTGGTTTATGTGTGTTGTTCAAGTCTTCTATTTCTTTGTGTATCTTCTATCTAGTTTTAGTCATTATTGAAAGTGAAGTGTTGACGTTTCCATCTACTGTTGTTGAATTGTTTATTTTCCCTTCAATTCTGTCAGCTTTTGCTTCATGTATTTGGGGGCTCTGATGGTAGGGGTATATGTATTTGTAATTGTTATCTCTTCTTGATAGAGTGATCCTTTTACCATTATATAATATCTTTTGACTCTAGCAGCAATTTTTGTTTTAAAGTCTATTTTGTCTGGTATTAATATAGTCACTCCAGTTTCCTTCCAGTTAATATTTGCAAGGTCTCTCATCTTTTATTCTTTTACTTTCAAACTACAGATAGTCCCCGACTTATGATGACATGATTATATTTTTTCAAGTTTACAATGATGCAAAAGCAATATGCATTCCATAGAAAGCATACATCAAATTTTGAATTTTGTTTTTACTAACTGCAGGCTAATGTAAGTGTTCTGAGCACATTTAAGGTAGGTTATGTTTTGAACTCCTTTGGGTAAATACCAAGGAGTGTGATTGCTGGACTGTATAGTAAGAGTATGTTTAGTTTAAAGAAACTGCCAAACTATATTCCAAAGTAGCTGTACTATTTTGCATTCCCCCCAAAAATAAATGAGAGTTTATTTTGTTCCACATCCTCACCACTATTTGACTTTGTCAATATTTTGGATTTTGGACATTTTATAAGGAGACCCTTATGGTATATCATTGTGTTAATTTGCAATGCCCTGATGGCATGTATTCAGGATGTGCTTTTCGTATGCTTGTTTGCTATCAGTACATTTTTGGTGTTCAAGTCTTTTGCTCTTTTTTTTTTTTTTTTTTTTTTTTTTTTTGGTGAATTTAGCATTTTCTGCACCTCTTTATTTTTCCAATATCTTAAACTTTTTTTTTTAAATTATACTTTAGGTTCCTTTTGCTTATTTTTTTTTTAATTGGGTTCTTGTTTTTCTTGTTATGTTTCAATAATTCTTTGCATATTTTGGGTAACAGTCTTTATCAGATTTGCCTCTTGCAAATATTTTCTCCCATTCTGTGGCTTGTCTTCTCATACTTTTGAGAGTATCATTAGCAGAGAAGTTTTTAGTTTTAATGAAGTCTAGGTTATCAATTCTTTCTTTCATGAATTGTGCCTTTGGTGTTGAATCTAAAAGTCACCACTAAATCCAAGGTTATCTAGGTTTTCTCCTATGTTATTGTCTAAGAATTCTGCATTTTACATTTAGGACTATGATTCATTTTGAGTTAATTTTTATTAAGGGCATAAGGTATGTGCCTGGATTCATTTCTTTGCATATGGGCATCCACTTGTTCTAGCATCGTCTGTTCAAAAGAGTATCTTTACTTCTATTGTATTTCCTTTTCCTTTGTCATAAACCAGTTAACCATATTTGCATGAGACTACTCCTGGGCTCTCCATTCTGTTGCATTGATCTATTTGTTTATTCTTTCACCAATACCACACTGCCTTGATCACTGTTGCTTAGTAGTAAGTCTTGACATCAGGTAGCGCCAGTCCTTTAAACTTGTTTTTCTCCTTCAAAATGGTGTTAGCTATTCTGTGGCTTTTGCATCTCCATATAAATTAGAGAATTAGTTAATATCCACAAAATAATTTGCTGGGATTTTTATTGAGACTGTATTTAATCTATAGATCTAGTTTGGAATAACTGACATCTTGACAATGTTGAGTCTTTCTATGGATGAACACAAAATATCTCTTCATTATTTCAGTTTTCGATGTTTCTCATCAGAATGTTACAGTCTTCCTCATGTTGAACTTGTACATATTTTGCTAGATTTATATCTAAGTATTTTATTGGGGGGGATGATAATGTAAATGGTATTGTTGTTTTTTTCTTTTTTGAGACAGAGCCTCGCTCTGTTGCCCAGGCTGGAATGCAGTGCTGCAATCTCGTTCACTGCAACCTCCACCTCCTGGGTTCAAGTAATTCTCCTGCCTCAGCCTCCTGAGTAGCTGGGACTACCGGTGCCTGCCACCACAACCAACTAATTTTTGTATGTTTAGTAAAGATGAGGTTTCACCATGTTGGCCAGGCTGATCTCGAACTCCTGACTTCGTGATCCACCCGCCTTGGCCTCCCAAAGTGCTGGGATTATAGGCGTGAATCATGATGCCCGGCAGTATTGCATTTTAAATTTCAAATTTTCTTCTTTATTGCTGGCATATAGGAAAATGACTTTTGTATCAAACTTATGTCTTGTAAACTTGCTTTACTTTATCATTTATTCCAAGTGTAACTTTGCTATAATTACTTATTACTTCTAGGAGGCTTTTTATGATTT